ACACACACACACACACACACACACACACACACACACACACACACGGAGAGAGAGACAGGTAAAATGCAAAGACATTCAAGCGTTAAGGGTCTGGTGCTGTGTCACTTAGCATGTGATCCGCTCAGCTGTGCTGCTTTCATCTGGACTGGTTTGTCAGGGGTCACACGCAGGTCACACAGCCACATGCTCACATCATCATCATCACCGCTCCATCAAACCAAAGCTAAACAGGTCTGTAGCTAAATTGAATGTGCAACAAACTCAGTGATGATCCAACAAAACACAGATTTCAGTGGAATACTCAAAGTCACAAAATCACAGTCTGGGGTGTCACTAGAATTCCACCATTCCTACAATGTTTAATGCGTTACCCTGTTTCTGAGTCAAGTATTAAAGAACATATTAGCCGTCAGAAAACACTGTTCCATAGGATGATATGCATTTAAACATTTACACTATGTTTAGTTACTGTACATAACATTAATTATTAATAAGCTACATAGTTTTTAAAGAATCAGCATTATCTAATTCTCAAAGGAATCATTTTAGGCTCCACATAAGACAGCATCCTCATCAAGACCTTTTGGCGTCCAGCAGGTTCTACCTCGAACATCAAGAGACACACACACACTGAACCACATATTCCCACCCAATTTTAGCATCTTAGCAAACATTTTATTCCAGTTAAATTAGTTCAAAAGGACAAGAAAGTGAAACAATCAGAGAAGAAAGAAGGATGACTAAACCTGATCTCGTTTGGAGTCTCCTCCTCCTCGTACTTCTTCTTCTCCTTCTTCTGGAAGACGAGCCAGATGATTAATAGGACAATGAGGACGCCGAGGGATATTCCCACCACTATACCGGCCGCCATAGCGACATTCTTTGCCCCTGTGGACAGAGAGGATATGATGAGAGGTGGAGGCACTTCCTGTCACAGTTTTTATTCTTAACTTTTAATGGGAATTTCTTTAACACTCCCTTTGTTTGTGGCAAAATAGCCAAATACAATTTAGCACCAAGGCTACCGAACTGCTCCCGCTGTGGTGATAAATGTGTAATCATTTTCTCGACACATGACTCGGCCGTGCTGGGCCTCTCAGCGAATGTATTAGAGTGACAATGAAACATAACTGTTGCAGCAGAGGTGGTGACCAGTAGCCACCAGTTTACATTTAGTGCAGTCCCTGGTGTTGGAGCACTGGGGGTAAGAATGGAAAGTGTGAGCGAATGGGGAGGTGGGTAGAGAGGCAGAGAGGAGGTAAAAATGTATTTCCAGCCACAGTTTGAAACAATAACCATCAATCAGTGTGACAGTTTGGTGTGAGGCGAACACAGAGGGGTCGACTCCCTCTCTCCTAAAACTCACGCTGGATTGTAACTTCGATTGTGCAGTTTTCCTCTCCCACGTTGTTGTGTGCTGTGCACCTGTAGACACCGGTGCTGTCCATGGTGAGATTCCTAAGGGTCACCATCTCTGGGTTCTTCAGATCTGGGGGAATAAGACAGTTTTTATTTGTTTACCAATTTTGTTCAAATCTTTCTGCAGGTCCACCATCCTCATTTGTAGAACAGAAATATAAATATATATCATGACCGAAGACAGAGAGACATTGACTACGTTTACGACTTACAAGACACCATTGTTTAGAAAAAGAACAAAACATAGAGCAGCAGCATCAATATCAATATGCGACAAATAAACCATTCTGAGGTTTTTAGAATTAAATGAAACAGCTATTCCATTCTGTCATCATCAGTGCACTGGAACATTTCAGGACATTTCATGTATTATAAAGATATTTAAGTCATCATAAACACAATTCATACAACCTGTTATCCTTCAGGGATGTTTTTAAATCAACAAAACAGAAGTGGACATAATGATGAGAGTTACAATCAGACTCTGCTCTGTAACATGTTAACAGGAATGTGAATGGAATATTCTATTAGCAACTTGTGTGAACACCACAATCCAAATAATGTCTTATTCAGAATTAGTCCAATAGTTGGAATATTGAATACAAGTCAACACAGTCACTGAGGCCCACCACACTGAAGACGACTTAAAGAGAGTAACAGGAATGTGAGTATGAGAGGAGCCTCACAGCCCCATGGGATATTTAGTCATCTCAACCAATGACAACCATGCGATATTACCTTTCACCAGAGCCATAAATAATGGTCGCAGACACTGTGTGTTATCGTCCAATGAAAACTAATTAGACTGAACAGGTGTTGTGTGGTGGAGGTCATTAATTTGAAGGTTTTCGTCTGGGCACGTGCCATCGCCGTTGCCAGTTGAACCGTGGAGGGAAAAGTGAGACAGAGATGTTGGCACCCCACTGTGTTTATTCTGCTTTAGAGAGTTCAAGATGAGGAGAGCTGCTCAACCACTCGCTTTTATTTCTGCTTTAAACTGTGTCAGTTACTTTGTAGAGGAAGCCATGTTTGGTTATGATCCAAGAGGAATTCAGGAATCCACATTACGTGAAGAAAAAGTGTCTCAGTGCTTCTTCTGAGCCATGTTTTTATTGTTCTTGGTCGGCTGACAGTTCAGTTGGATTTTCTTAACTATAAACACACAATCCAAGAAAACACTCCCTTCACACGGACTTTCCACAGGTATAATTCACTTGGGCCACACTGACATTTCAACATCACAGGTGCTTTCATCAGTATCAGTCTGGATCCTTGTGTTTATATAACTCATCCCAGCAGAGCACATTGAGAAGCCACACGGCTGTGTTGTGTTTGATTTTCGTGCCGTGCATGAAGAATCAGTGGCCTTCGCGGGACGATCCTAGCCCATCTAAGTGCCCTTGAGCAAAACACTTTAACTGTTAATTACTCCAGTGAAGCAGCTAAAGGGACGAGTGGTAGAAGAGTGTTGAGGTGTACCGGGCAGATTTATGTTTCAGTGTTTGCAAACGTGCAAATCTAAAGACGGGAGGGAGGTGAGGGAAACATGGTGTGCTCAGCAAAACACTCCATTGGATGAATGCAGCCTATAAACTCACTAACATGAAAATGAATCCTCGTAGCGTTTCTCTGCAGAGCGCTGGATGGTGAATCAGCATGTCACTGTGGTGCCAGTTATTTTCCTTACCTATCAGTGCCAGGTTTGGCAGCTTGCCCAGGCTCCTGCCTTTGTCCAGCACTCGCTCCCACTTGTAGTTGATGGGTTCTGACCCGTTGCTGGACTTGCAGCTCAGCTTGACATCACTGCCCTCCAGGAGTTTGCCGTCCATCAAGCACGTCGGCTTGGAAGGCTTGACTGTAAGAAGACATAGGAATTACAAATGGTTTAGTACAAATTACAAGTCATGTGTTCGTTATCATATTAGTTCAGATTTATTTATAGTTTTGCATCAGATTTTAAGACCTTGGATTGTATTATGTAATAGCATATATGTTAATCTGCATTTCAATCGATTTTTTTTTTTAATTATTAAAATTGTAGGTCTATTATTAAGTAGTCAATCAATTAGTCTTAGATTAGTGTATATCCATCCATCCATCCATTGTCTTCTGCTTATCAGGGTTCGGGCAGCAGAGATAGGATATCCCAGACGTCCTTCTTCTGAGCCACTTTCCAGCTCCGCCTGGGGGAACCCAAGGCGTTCCCAGGCCAGATAGGACAGAAGGCGCCCAGGAGGAATCATGAATAGATGCCCAAACCACCTCAACTGTTCCCTTTCAACATGAAGGAGCAGTGGTTCCCCTGCGAGCTCCCTCCGGATATCTGAACTCCTCACCCGCTCACGGAGGCTGAGCCCGACAGAGAAAAGGCATTTCAGTCGCTTGTATCTGAGACCTGTCTACCCAGAGCTTGTGACCTTAGGTGAGTGTTGGTCTATAGCATCGTCAAAACATGCTGTCTGTGTTTGTCCCATTGCTAGTCCTGTCCGGATATATATGGTAATACATACAACAGAGAAATGTTACTGCTGTAGAGCATGACCACTTTTAGCTCAGGCTCTGGAAGTACATTTCACATTCTTTTTTTCCATTGACTTTTTAGAAAATCCTTATGAAAAGAGTTTTAAGCCTGGAACCAGCCTGACCAGCTATGAGGTGAATATGATCATCATACACTCTTTTCCTCATCTCTAAATAAACCACGGCATGTTACAGAGGGAAATTATGTTTGCTCTGTGGTAAATGCAATGTAGTGCTGAATAATCTCCCTCCACCAATGAGAGACGTTGCCTCTGCCCCTGATGATTGTGGGTAGTTTCCCCGATTTGAGAATAAAACACTTTTTCTTAAAACGCAGTTGAAATGATAGGAATTTGTGGCTTTAAGAAGCATTTAACATTGTTTCACAATCTCGTAATCCGCCTTGGATGGTAACAATGTTACTTATGTAGTGTAATTTCTTTTTTTAATAGTATTTTTAGAGAAAAATCATAGACACACAAAACGTCAGCTACAACAACAACGTTAACACACAAAAAAAGTACTGTTTCCAGATGTCTATAATCTTTAATCTATATTCTATTTTGTCTGATAATTAAAACATCTATTCAGAAAATAAAGTTTAAAAATTCAACACCAGCTAATAAATCTTAAATTCACTGTTGATTTACCGGAGCTTGATTTATTCCATAATGCAAAGTCAAGTGAAACAGTGCATATGACCTTTAGGATAAAACATAACGTAAAATGTAGAGCACATGCTGTAATGAGATGTTAAGTAACTTGCACAAGTTAAATTTTTACTGAAATGTGTCCATCATTATCTATTACTGGTGTCAAATACATTTTTAATGAGGGATAAGTGAATGTAACTTTCACAGTCATTCCTCAGAGCTGGTGACACACACGGGGGAAAAAAACAGTCCCACAGGGAACGGATCAATGTGACCCCGACGCTGGCTGTGAACGCTTGTGGTGATATGTTCTCCACAGGTCAAAGGTTTTGGTCATGGTCCAGTAGCTGGAGGCAGAGTGCAGTATAGCTGGAGCCTGCTGAGCGCTGTACAGCTGCTCTGTTTAGATACACGCCAAGAGGCACCGCTATAAATGCAGGAAAAAAAAACAGCACATCCTTTTTCTCTTGCCCAAGATATATTTTTAGATCAGGGGAGAGCTAAATTTAAAAACGTCTATTTTGTATTTTGGCTGTGCTGTCTATTAGGCAACTTTTGAAATCAGACTCCGCAGCTTGTCAGCAAAGTAACTCCTGACTAATGCTGAGATGTAGTGACTTAGCGATAGCCGCTACACAAAGCCAGACAGCTTACGTGCATCTCTCCCTTTGTTCGTCTTCTTCACTCCCCTGGTCTCAGAGGCAGAGTTCTCTCTCTCCCTCTTTCTCTCTCAGTAAGCAATATAATGAGAAGAGCCGAGCGGACGAGCACCGACGCTTCATCTGTGCATCTCGCAGCTCTGTCAGGGTCAGTTAGGCCCAAATGCTGCAGGAGCAGTAACGTAGTAACCTCATGCACAAACTATTTTCCAGTGCACACACATAAAAAAAACAGCACAGACACTTACTAAGTCAAAAAATCTGCACATGCAAATCCACATTTAACAAAAGCAGAGAAGGCTATCAGGCATGAACCTGCAGGCTTGCCCATCAACACATACACAACCAGTGGAGGCACGAGTAGAAACCCCTGGCACGCACACAAATACATACACCCGCACACTGCCTTGTGCCAAGCCAGCTCCTGGCTCTGCTGCCAAGCTATTATCTTAGCATGGGGGGAGAGAAAAATGCAAATGTTCGTCTCTCTCAAGATCGAAAGTGCCACCGCAAAGCTGAGGGCAATTTGTAAAAATCGAGGCACTAACTCACTGAAATGTCTTCATGGAAGGGAGAGGAGAGCGAGAGCGAGAGGATTAACAGACTGTTCCATTAGAAAACCAATAACTGCGGGTTGAACTAATCTCCCATGATGTTTTAATAAATCTCCTGCTTTTCTGACATTGAGAATGATCTTGCTCCTCCCGCCGGACTTTGTGGCCGGCTTTTGTGGTGCAGCTCTTCCCCCTCCTCGCTGTCTGTCCTTCAAAGTTGTTTAGCTATTTGAGATATGCAGGCGGAGACGCACATTACCACGGAGCTAGCTATAAAACTAAGCCATTTATAACCATCTGTGCGCTGGGCATATGAGCGAAACAAAGCGAATTGAGAAAGAGGCGGATAAAATGTACAATGATGTGGCTTATGAGGCCAAAACAGGCTTTTCTTTAGTTGCTAAGAGCTAAGACGTGACTCCTACAAGTAATTTTCCTAAGTAGCTTATCAACAGGGAGATTGATGACTTTTTTCCAATGTCATTTTCAACTCCTAAATTTCATTAGAGAATGTACCTCAAACTTGGAACTTGAAGAAGAGTGTGTTGCTGCCTGTTCCCTCATAGATCTTACAGAGGACAGAAATGAATTTAACTTGATGCTTGACGTCCATGGAACTCGGTCCCTAACTCAATCAATCAGATCTGTGCTCTTCCAAGCCCAGTCGCCTGTTTCTGGTCTCACCTCATCGACAAACCAATCCGAACGAACCCAAACAGCATGAGTGGAATCAAATCACACCGTCTGAATCAAATTGAATCATTAGATCAGTCAGCATGACGGAGGAAATGTGCCAGGCTAATGATCCAGTGATTAGCTCTTGGTGTGTGTGTGTGTGTGCGTGTGTGAGAGTCTATGTCCATTTTCCATATACAAACGGGTGCAGGTCCCTTCATAACCTGATGGCATGTGCACCTGTATGCATTTCTATCAGTAACCTGTGTGTGTGGAGTACGATGAGCCTGCAAACACTCACCCAGCACAATGAGGTTGACCTGGCTCCAGTGGTACTTGCCCCCGGTTTTAACTTTACAAGAGTATTCACCGGAGTCGGACAACAGCAGGTCACTGATCATCAGGGAGGCATCCCCGCCCAGGTACTCCCCGGCAAAGGACACACGGCTGGCGTCAGTGCCCGTTGCCTCATTGGTGTAAACCTTGCCCCCGAAGAAGGTTATGATCTAAACACAGAGAAGAAGAAAATCAGAAATGCATTTTTAACTTAACTGGCACTCAGTATTGCATACCTCCACCAAGGCCCAACAGTCCCCTCAGACTCAATCAGTGTCCTACACTCATAGATATCAGTTCCCTTAATGTGCCTGATTTTTTTTTTCATAAAGATCCATGAATTATTCCCTGGGAAGTCAAAATGTCATCAAACGGCCTCTCTTGCAATGTAAAAACATAACCTCCTTGGCAGAGGTAATCACATGGATGTGATAGTGTAAACCAACATTTTAATTGTTGATGTCGGGACTCATGTAATTATTGCAACCAACTAACAATAAAAGCTTTCATGTTACATTAAGAACCTGTTTGTTTAACGTCCCAACAGCAACACTCTTGATATTATCAACTGGTCGCCTTCCATTAACATTTACAAGTACATAACTCCGATGAGGGAGCATGTACAGCTCAGACACTTCCATGCAGTCCCTCACTGGGCGCAGTGTTCGAGGGAAACGGTACACCAGCACTCTTGGGTAACAATGTTAACAATCACTTTTTAATTAATTAACACTTGGGAAATAATATTTTACAAATGAATGCATTTGTCTGAATACCAGTATCCTGCCAACGTTCATTTAGCTGATTGTCTGTGAGCACTGTTATCTCTCCTCATGCTCCTTCTACAAGCCGAGCTCTCAAATTGACCAAAAAAATATTCTATTCAGGGGCTGAGATAAAAGATTCATGTCCCCACAGTGGCACTGATGTGATGGCAGCACACTGGCACACACAGATCTGAACACGTTCCAATACCACTGTTCCCCTTCGGATACAAATTCCAATATCAAGATTTTGCGTATCTGGTACTGATACCGAGGGGGTGGACAGAGGACATTTGGGCTAAAAACACAGTGTAAATGATGCCGTTTCAAGTCCAATTTAAATGGCGAGGCTTGCAGACACTTGGATGACACCACAGGATGGTATGTTTGAGGAATCGGTCGCCATTTACTTCAATTCTATTGGTTTAAGCAAATTACCCCTGAGACTACTAAAGTTTTTTCAAAAGGGAAGTCTTGCATACAGGGCATGGCTGTTTTAATTGTGGCGCACCTCAGCGCCAACATTTCAGCTAGCTCTGGCTAAGGCCACATTACTGGGCATCACTTCTTCTTTGCCGCTCTAAAAACAGCACTTGCCCTTGTCAGTGCAGCACGACTTCTGATTCAAAGCAAAGAAAACTAATAAACAGATACCAAAAGACTTGGTATCTGATCGGTACATGGATTTGTATACCTGTCATTCCTGTTAATGGTATTGGAACATGTTTAGTGAGAAAAACAAAACAATGTTTTATATTTAAAGTGCACACTAAACTATAAGGCTACTATAAATTCAGACAGTAAACACGTATTATTCCACTTTGCTCTGTTTATCTCTGGCAAAATCAGGTCATGTTTGATTTCTCTCAGTTTTCTCTTGTTATTTAGCAGCTGCACCTTAGCAACAAAGATGTCAGAATGTATTATAGCAGCTGTTGTGTTGATATAAAGACTCACTTACAAGTAGAACTGCATCAGTTTTGTTTACCGGAAATATAACACACATAGTATATGCATGTGTGTATTATTGGCTAATATAATTATATAGCCATAGCAGTCATTTTTGAAACACTTTGAACTGCACTTACCTGTATAAAAGGTGCTACACACATTTTGTTGTGTGTGTCTACTTTATGTGCACAGACTTATATGTTTGTACTGTGTATGTATACATCCCTTCATCCATCCATCCATTATCGTCACTGCTTATACTTAAAGGTCGAAGCTGAAGCCAGTCCCAGCTGACATTGGGTGAGAGGCAGGTCACAGCCTGGAAAGGTCACTAACATATCGCAAACATACTGTGACAAACAGCCATTCACACTCACATTCACTCGTACGGTCAATTTAGAGTCTCCAGTTAACCTAATCCCAATCTGCATGTTGGAGGACGCCGGGGAGCCTGATGAAAACCACACAAACACAGGGAGAAGATGCGAACTCCTCACAGAAGGACCCGGTCAAAAGTGGGATTCAAACCAGGAACCTACAACATTGCTGTATACATACATGTAATATGTGTATATAATCTGGGTGCAAAAGATAAACACAATATAAACCATAAAAGAAACAACAATTGGGTTTAAGGTGTTTTTATCAGAAGTTTGAAACAAAGAGTGAAATTGGGTCAGAGCAGAAACAGGCGTGTTGTGATTGACACAATCTATTTTCCATTTTTATTTTTAGCTCAAGGTTCATTGATGTTTGCAGTGGCTGAGTCTTCAAAGAAAAAATCTCATGATCTGAAACTTCACCGAAGACATGTAACATCGGTAAACCTGCTTTCATTTTCTCTTCCCTGCCTGTTTATGTCTACTTCTCTTTGCCCCCCCCACACCTCCTATCTTCTCTCTCTTTCTTTCTCTCCATCCACACACACACACACAGAAACACAAACAAACACAGCTGTCACGGTGGCCTATTACTCAGGGCAAGTGAGAGCCTGCAGATGGGGCCTGCTAAATGCCGGTGCCACAGTGCATCAGCGCCTAAGCAACAGGGGCACCTGCTGTGATTACAGGTGACGACTGGCCATTTACACTAACACACACGTGCACAGGCCTACACACGTAAACCAGCTCCAAAGCAAACATGTGGAGTGGAAACACACCATGGACGCAAACAGACATACATTACTGTGCCATGGCTGCAGGCACGAAGCGACACTGGCCTGGCACCTACACAAAGTGGGACATACTTGAAAAGCATCAGCCTGCGGGTGCACGTCTACTGCCCACACCAACTGTTTATTACTCACATGTATGTGTGTGTGAACTATACTATCTGAGCTGGTTATGACAGGATGTCTTCTGAACATATGAGACTGTGAGTGTGAGGAGTTTAAGAATAATTTAGTAACATGACCTGCGGTTGTTGGCAATAGTTTGCAATTAAAATGACGTTATTTGTTTATTTAGTAAAAATGATAAATACTTTATACAGATATGGAGAGAACCTGCCAGCTCTGGCATTTCTGAATGGATATGTAGATGACTCTAAACATGTTTCAAATTGATCGGTTAATAAAACCTATTGATTTGAATAAATGTGTTCTGGAAACAAGAGGGAGAAGTTATCTTCAGTATCAGACTGTGAACTCTGTACAAACATATGTATTAACATCTATCTTAGTTTCATACTAACATCATTTGATTAAAATCATAGACCTTATTTAAAAATATATGACATGACTCCACTTCCTCACATTGTACAAAAATGAAGCCAAAATATTCCAGATGCAGGCACTGCCATCATGCACTTTGCATAACATTTGAGCCTGAGTCTGCGCAGCAGTAATCATAATGAGGAGCTGCAGTAAAAAGATCCTGCCCATACACACTCTTGACCAATGATGAGTCAGTCTCAGCTGTCAATCACAATGTTTCACTCTGTTTTTATTGCATCAAATAACTTTTAATAACTAATTTAATAACGAATAACAACTGAACTAACATCATCAAATAAAAGTAGAAGCAGATTTCTGACCTTTCTAAGAATCTACAGTTTCATGAGCACTCGGAAAACTATGCAGACATTAATCTTTTGTTGTCCATGATAATGTTAAATTAAAACAGTCGATGGATTTTGGTCATCTACATGGACGCCCTGTCTCCTGCCCCTATGTGTCCTCAACACATGTCGTCTGTACATTGCTAACAGAGTTTAAATGTTGACACGATGCTCTTTCCCTCTCAACATGGCCTTCCAGCAGAACAAAAGAATGATTTATTCATTCAGCTACAGGCGCAGTCTCTTTCCTAATCAAATTTTCAGACGTTTGATTTTAATTAATGGCGCCTTCAATGTTATCTTCCTGTTAAATATTCATCGCAATGTGGCAGCTCCCCTCTGAATCATCAAAGCGTGAGACACTTGTTTTCCCTTTTCTTTCATTCCTAGCCCCCCTGTTTCCCCGCCCTTCCCTCCTTTTCTTCTCTTTCTCACAGCGCTACACGTCTGTGCGTTAACCAACACATCAGTGCTCGAATGAACGACTTCCAAAAAGGAAAGGAAATCTTTTTCTTCCGACAGAAAGCCGGTTCGATTTGAATGCTCTGTCTGTTATCAGATACTAAGCTCAGTTTGGGTGAAGAAAGGCAATGATTCAAACTCGGTGAAACGATACCAGAACATCTTCTGAGGCTGTGAGATGACAAAACCAAGTGAAGGGCATTTAAGGATTTTCAACTAGGTGATGCTTTACTTATCGCAAAAGGAAAGGAAACCCCCTTAAAAAATGAGTTAGTGGAGCATTTTCTGGCATAGCAGAACATGTAGTGACACAACATGTGAAGTTGCTCTATTGTTTATCTCTTTTATGCTCAAGATAAAGCTGAGAATAAAGGGTCCAAGGTTACGACTACAGAATTAGTCGGGGAACATTCTGCGACTTGATTGTTCCTTTGTGGAAAGGCACTTAAAACTTGTACTGCTACAGTAACTTTAGGCATCGAGTTAATGTGCAACTATTATGGCTCCCGTTGGAAATCAATCAGCATGGCCCAAATAGAGAAGAAAGAAGAAATGTAAAAGAAAAGTGTTTGTGAAAGAGGAAGGAAAAGAAAAATATAAGGCAGGTAAAAAAATAAAATAGCAGCACTTAGAGCTTTCTGTTCCTATTTTCAAAACATTCAGTCATGAAAATGTTTACATTACTTATGTGCTGACGTTCCCCGTGTGGATTGAAAACAGTTTCTCAGACTGCATTTTTTTTACTTTAATTTCCAGCAGCTTATGAGAAGGAAATCTTATGAGGAAGTTTCCAGCAGATCTCAGATGATTTAAACAGATTTATTCAAACTTGACGCACCAAGGAGAGAAGTGTAACTAGAAAAGCACACATGGCCCCAAGATCCAGTCCCCTTACCTTATTTAAAGGTTCAGTGTGTAGAATTTAGTGACGTTGAAGTTGCATGTTGCAGCTGAATAGTCCTCATCTCACCCTCCCCTTCCCAACAACTTCAGTTGTCATGAAAACTCAAAAGGTTATAGTTTGTTCAGTTTGGACGACAGTAAAAAAATATGGCAGCCTCCATATAAATATAACGTTTTTAGATATAAAGCTCCCATTCTATGGCAAAGAAAACAACAATTCATACAATTTAGATGATTACACACCAGTGAAAACATCACTACGATTATTTTATATTCAATTTCTGCCAAAAATCCCTTTCACCTAAATCTCACACACTGTACCTTTAACTGTGTTGGGCTGGCAGGAAAATGTCTGAAGCAACTGACTTGGACGTTTGCTTTCTAATATACAGCCCCTCTGGATGATTTCAAGAAAGTGTCTGGAGTTCAGTGGATGTCTGAAAGCAGCTCAAAAGAAAGCTTGTATAACTAATGACCTGGAGCCCTAAGACCCTGGCTGGTTTATTATGGCTCCTCCACCAACCACTATGACTTGCTGTGGCGGCTGCCAATGGGAGGAAAATACACCTAATGAAAGAAAATAGGCTTATTTGGAGAAAATTGCTTCACAGTGTTAGTATGTCCAAAAAGCCAAAGAAACAGCAAGTCATTACTATACTATTACTATACTACTATTACTATTACTATAGTGACATGAATGTGTCGACTGATTGTCTGATGGTGGAAAAGTGGGATAAAACAAAAGGAATCTCCTCTCACCACTCTCTGTTTGGAGTTTGGTTTCAGCAGGAGCCACTCAATGTCGATAGAGTTGGTCGACGGGAACTGGTGGTGGCAAGGTAAGGTGGCGTTGTCCCCGACGACCTTCTTCATCTCCGTCTGGGCACCCACCGACAGCAGGCTGAAAAGAGCTGAGGGAGAAGAGGAGAGATGAAGTCAGATGGGGACAATAACTCGATCTCAACTTGAGACAAGAAGCGGATGCTGCCGATAGGAAGAAAAAAAACACGGCAACAGAGGAAACTGAGACGCAGTGAGAGATGACCAGGAATCCCAATAGCTATCTCGACAGATGCTGAGATATGTCACACGCAGACATTGAAGAGAGACAGTATGGGGATTCTATTTTTACAGGAAATAGAGTTTGGTATAAGAGGTCAGAGAGAGAGGGGAATTATGGTGATCTTTGCTTTAACCCCTTTTGACAAGGGCAGTCAAAGAACACATTCTTATTCACAGCAGCCGCTTCGGGGAGCTGCGGCCTGGCACAGGGAAGCACAGAGCTTTTGACGAGTGAGACTTTGCTCACATGGACAATTCTGCTGTTGGACTGAAGACTGTCACAATTATTATTATTATCAGATTATCAGAGGACATTTGAACACTTTTCTCTCACCAAAGGAAGACAAAATGGAAACAGGAGAGATCGGACACCTCCCACAGCTGCATATGAGTCATGCAACCACGACGACAAAAAACAAAAAAACAAAATTGCATCTACTTAGTGAAGAGCTTGGAGTGCTGTAAAAAAAAGAGTAGCAATAATCATGTGTGGTCACAAATGAGTGACTTTGGGCACCGGCCAGACTGTCAGGGCCTGTGTCTCAGTGGGAGAGCAGCAAGGCTAATTTATTGTAGGATGCTGGACAGCCCTGTGGCCTTGAGGGGAATTAGCCAGAGGCGTCAAAGGGGTTTGCTGAAAGCTCGAACTATGGACGGTGTGTGTGCGAATTTTTGTGTGTTTGTGTGCAAGCATTGCTGAGATAGTTGACTCCCTCCACCACCAAGAAACCCTGCACAATGCTGCAGAGCTCTGTTCAGCTTTCACGCTCAGATGTGACAGATATCTTTGGCTCTACAACATTTAACTTAACTACCTGTGCCTATAATTTAATTGCCGAATGAGCTGATAGCTCCTGGGGAATCTGAGCGCTTAAAATAAAGTTATCTAGCCTGGCAGATGCTCATTTGGAAAGTACAGTACAGTGTGAATAATGTTACCTTCTACTTTCCATTGTCATGCAGAACTTAAAGTCGCCCAGAGATTCAATATTTCCTCCTGTTTTTGCACAGAGTAAATACACATCATGGCGCAGGACACATATTTGACCGACAACTTTGTGCAATCACAGGTGTTCTCTCTGTGGCAGAGTGATTCAACCCAGAGCGAGTCGTTGAAAGAATGCCTCAGTGCTCTGCAGACACAATCGCATGCTGTCAGTTGTTCCACAGGAGGCCAACTGTGTCCTGTGAAATGCATCAGCACTCGCTGGGCGCCTGTCCACTTGTTCTGTGGTCCACCGTCGCAGGAGCCAACACCCTGTCCCATAAGTGATCTTTGGGGCCACTGAAAATGTCAGCTCTGTGCTGTGAAAGCAATGAGTCAGTGCTGACACAGGACACAGAGGGGAAGAGGAGAGCATCACAGAAACTCCTCGTCTTCTACTAGAACTTCAGCCACACAGATGACATCATGTGGTGGATCTCAGCAGTTTCTTTAAGTTTTGTTTAACCCCCCTGTGTTTATACTTTGTGAGCCTTGGACGATAAAACCCGAGCTCCGGGCTACTCATTGTCAGTCAAAGTTAAAAGTTTCCAGTTGGCATTCACTAGTTGGACAGAGAGGGAGCACTTCACGGTTGCCAGAGTGCTTGTGCGCCCCGCTGGAAGCCCGGGACTGACAGGCCGAATTGCTGAGGTCTGTCTGCTCTGTTGGACCACCTGCTTGGTTTAAATCATTAGTCAGCAAATAAAGTAAGAGCCCCCCTCCCCAGACAAGCTCCTGGACCCTGAAGGTATCAGGGAACTATTTATGACTTTTTAATGCAGAATTTGCAGGGTCATTCATCTTGTGGCTTCCTGCTGACATTAGTTTGGATGTCGGTGAAGAGAGAGAGACCTTTGCAGGAGAGAATATTGAAGAGGAGGAACGGTCTGACTGTATGTGTGTGTGTGTGTGTGTGTGTGTTGGACCTAATGGTGCAAACTAATGCTTGATGGTATAGGTCTCTGCTGGGAGACCTGTGTCCACCGTCTCCCCTCAAGTCTCCTCAGGCTAGCCTCTGTAATCAGCGCTCCCACACCCATCAGCAGCCCGGGGCTGAACCCGGCAGTGTGTAACAGGCCTGATAAGAAATCCCTGCTTCCTTTCTCACCTCCCATCACCCTGAACTGCCCATTGCTTCGACTGTATAGACTCTGTTAATGGAGGGGTTTATGTGAAAGACAGATAGGGCCAGGGTGACCGAAGAACGCCCAGCAATTCAATCTTTTTTTTCCACACAAAGTACTTGACTTTCCAGCTGACTTTAAATAGACCTTCAAACAATGACAGCGGTTGGCCATTTGTATACTTTCAGTTTTACGTCAATATGTTAGAAACATCATCAACACGCACACTCGCGAATTTTGGGCTAACTCTGACATTTTTGGTTACATTTCACCAGTGTGCTAGCAGGAAAATGCGCGTTCAGTGCACATTCTCAGAGCGTCTCACTCGGACATTTCATTCACACATGCACCTCCTCCAGAGAAAATATGGAAGAACTGCGGAGTCTAGTGCATGTCTGAAAGCAGCTTTTAAGAGCCTCCACTCTACCATGGTTGCTATGGCCAATGCCCATTGGGTTTGGTATTGCAATCTTTTTCCACACAATGTGCCTGACTTTCCACTAACTGACTTTAAATTGACCTTCAAACAATGACTCACAAACACCAGAATGACTTGTGGGCTTCATCGCCAAACAATGAGGTTTTCAATGCCATAAATTATTTGTATTTTCAGAGAAGAAGAAAAAACAAGATGGGAAATATGCTGTGTTTCTGTGAGAGAAAGAAAATTGTCTTCATTTTTGCCAGAAAGAGTTGGCAGAAAAATCTGAGAGGGGGGGCTTTTTTTGGTTAGTATACAATTGCTGCTCCCCACTTCCCCATTTATTTTTAGTCCTGCAGAGGGGGCTTATGTGCTCGGGAATGGATGACACAGTGCTCCCAAAATAAGCTCGCCTGGATGTGAGTTTATGCACACATTTGGATTGGCCTCATTCACCGTGTGCACAGCTGGGGTGGTTTGGACTGCGAGAGACCCCATCACTTGTGTCAACATCAAATATGAGACACAACAAATTAAACTCTGCTTGTCTGCCAAGTATGAAAAATCGTTTTGTTTAGTTGTTTTTGGTTTCTCGACCTTGGCTTAATAGGTTTAGCTGTGAGGTGACCCACAAACAATAAAACCTGTTTAGCATATTAGCTTAAACATAGATAAGATTACTGGTGTAATCCTGGTTCAAGGTGCTTTGTAAGCATTCACATGTTTCTATGAGATTCCACAAGAACACGGGAAAGAACATCTGAATAAACATGGCCGTCTTGAGCGAGGGATAGAGAGGACTTGTGATACGGGGGCCAGGCCATGTCCTCCATCCCTCTGTCTCCTCTATTTTCCTCAACTCTGTTTGGCTCAGACTCTTGCAGCTCGGTTCAGTGTTAACCCCGCAGAAAGAAAAGGAAAAGAAGCCTATTATAATTAACAAAAGAAAGCGGGAGCAAACACCAGAGGTTTAGAAAGAGAGAGTGAGAGTCCGGAACACAGACATATCGGACAAAGCGGGAGAGAGAGTGAGGCGAGGGTGAAATATGGAGGAACCAATTTCTATGAAAAGGCCCTAGAGGGAGTTGTGCTCCAGTAAATCCGCCTTACAGGGCCCTGCAATCTTATTATAGTGTGGCCAGTGAGATGGACAGACAGACAAACAAGGCAGGCCTGGATCTTTCACACTGCCCAAAGTCAAGCTCCACATATCCCCTCAGTCAGCACATAGGCCTGGCTGCATGGGGCCTTTGCCACGTCCAAAGCTTATGACCTCTGGTACTCAAACACAGCACATCACAAGAGAGGGGGGCTGGTGAGGGACAGGGACAGAGGCAGATAAATGTGGGGAGTGAAAGAACTCAGGAAAATGGGTGGAGGGAGGGATGTTGCAATGCCTTATTTTGAGCACTTACTGTAAGTCACTGGCGTGGAGGAAGGATTAAACCGTCACAAAGGTGGTTTTAGACACAGGTTAGCAGATGCACAAGGAGACAAAAAAGGATCAGAGGCGTCGCGACAATTGTGTGCGTACACGGCTGCGTTTCCCTCCATAGAGAACGTCTTCATTTTATGTACACGTGTGCCTGCCGGAGTGTGTGATGTGTGCTTTATGGGAACACATGCTCTGTCACAAACACACTTCCACCGCCGCCTGTCTGCGTTACAGAGACGCAAGGGGACTATCTTTTGCAGACGGTAAATCAGCGGCTCGGCACACAAACCTGTGATTTGCTGTCATGCAGGCACACAGACTCCAGTCATATTTTAGTAACGCGCACTGTCTCCCTGCAGCAGGCAAAGGTAACAATCATCTCCCACCTCTGCCAATCTGTGCAAGAACTGTTTTATCTTCTGTCATCGCAGCAGGATTAAATGCAGGGGAGGCCGACATTTTCTTCGAGGCTCTGTATAAATTCTGTAAAATATAGGATTTCACGTATATAACAAAAAATTCTGACATTGCAAATAAAATACAACTCATCCCTTCTTATTGCTGACATAAAGCTAGTTTTTAGCTGATTTGGGAAATGCTGAGAAGAGCACATAAGGCTGAGGAGACAATAGTGAAATGCTCACAGCTCAGTGTGCTGCTTCAAAGGCCGTGTATGTGCCCACCAACAGTGCTGTTGCGTGACCTGAATTGGCCATTCTAATGCCAAACATATATATTATAAATACCACCGACGTTTCAGGGGGAATCACAGATAGGAGGCTACATCTTGCCCTTTACTCTCTCCCAACATCTTTGAGGGGACGGACTTGCTTGAAATGCCATGAAATTTGACAAGAGGCCGCCTCCAGTTGTCAGTGCAAACC